AATCAGTAACTCAATAGTTTTTTAGTAGGCGCCCTGAACAAAAAACAGGACCCAAAGACTTTATTAAAAAAAAAAAAAAAAAAAAAAGTGCCAGGTGTGGTAGTATATGCTTTTAAATCTAGTACTCCAAAGGCAGAGGCAAGGCAGATCTTTGTGAGTTCGAGGTCAGCATGATCTACATAGTGAGTTCCAGGCCCAGCTGGGGCTACAAGGAGACCCTGTCTCAAAATGACAAAAAAGAAAAAAAAAGAAAGAAAACCCACACTTAGTTCTGCTGAGGCTGGTTTTCGAAAAGTGGTTCTTTTCCAGGAGGAAGTATTCAAAGTGAAGTCTGAGTTACAGGGCTAGCATAAATTTCATGTGTAATTTTCATCACCTTTTAAAAAGTCCAAATGGGTATATTTCTTCAGCTAAGTATTTAAGAAAATCATATACATTATATACTGGATATATGTGTGTGTATACACATATACATACACACACACCCCCATTTACACATAGGATTCTTTTTTCTCCTTCAGTTTTATCTTTACTCACTTTAAATGTTATGCTGAGAAACTTCTTGAAGCTTTATTAGAATTCACTGTTTTTCTTTCTTTTGTTGCCCTTGAGACAGAGTCTCACTGTGTAGCCCTGTCTGGCCTTGAACTCAGACTACCTGCCTCTGTGCTGGGATTGAAGGCATGTGCTATCATGCCCAGGTGTTCATTTTTTTTAAACTTTTGATTTTTACTATGTGTATGAGTGTTTCACCTGCATGCACTCATGCATGCAGTTCCCAAGAAGTCCAGAAGAAGGTATTGGATCTCCTGGACCTGGAGTTACAGATGGTTGTCTCTTAACTACTCTTGAAGATGATTTAGTTTGGTTCTCAGTACCTTCACTGGGAGATTCACAAGAGCCTACAACTGCAGTTTCAGGGGACCTGATACCCCCTTTGGCCTCGGTGGGCTCCTGCATGTATGTGGTGTACACACACTCATGCAGCCTCACATACATACACTTCAAAACAAAACAAAACACAATGCTGATCTAGTCTGGGCTCAAACTTGGCTCTAACACTTTCTCACTAGCTAACAGGAATTCACTGAGCCTTGGAATTCTCATCTGTATAAACAAAGATACTGCTGGGCCTGGTGGTACATGTCTGTTGGGAGGTATAGGCATGAGGAATCTGAGTTTGAGACCAGCCTGGGCAACATAGCAAGAGACTGCCTAAAAAAAAACAAAACAAAACCATGCTGGGCGTGGTGGCGCATGCCTTTAATTCTAGCACTCAGGAGGCAGAAGCAGGCAGATCTCTGTGAGTTCAAGGCCAGCCTGGTCTACATAGTGAGTTCCAGGGCTACAGGGAGACCCTGTCTCAAAAAGACCAAAAAAAAAAAAAAAAAAAAAAAAAACAAAAAAAAAAAAAAAAAAAAAAAAAAAAAAAAAAAACCCCAAAACAAACAAAAAACCAAATCAGGATGTAGGCAGATCTCTTGAGTTTGAGGCCAACCTGGTCTACACAGTGAGTTCCAGACCAATCAGGGCTACACAGTTAAGACCCTGTCTCAAAACCAAATAAACAAATTAAAAATAAACAGAAAAAACAAAAACCAGGACCAGTGAGATGGCTCATCAGGTATAAAGGTATTTGCTGCAAAGCCTGACAAACCAAGTTTGGTCTCTAAGACTCCCATGGTGGAAAGAGAAAACCAATTTCTACAAGTTGTTCTCTGACAACCCCCACCACCCCTCAAATAAGCCCAAACCCAAGGATACTGGTATTAGCTAGTACAAAGGCATGTTCTAAGAACTAAATGAATTTACGTAAAAAGTCCCCAAAAGAGTGTCTTGCATGGTAAATCCCTTTCTTGGTGTATAATCATTTTGTTCTTAGTCCTTCTAGACCTTAAGGGCTTCAACTGTCCCAAACTTGAATAGTTCACCAGAGACTGGATATCAGTTTACATTTGGCTGCATAGTCTATGTGAAAATATTACACACAAAAGTTAGGAAAAAAAAAAGGACATGGTCAATTACCTGGGTCATTCTCACGCTCTTGTGTTTCACTGATATCCTGTGTCCTCCCAGTGTTGCCCAAAGCAGGCTTAGGGACTGACACACTGACTGATGCTGAATGAGCTACCTGTGGAAAGGGACCAGGTAACTGGGGGGGAGTGGGCTGACGGGGGTGGTAAGGCACACCTGGGGGGCAGACTCGGGAGGAGAGCTGTTGCATGGCGATCATTTCAGGACTGTCCATCATGGAATCCCCTCCTTGTACCCCCCGTAGAGATTGGGAGGGTCCCCCAAATAGAGGACTTGGTGCTGGAGTTGGAGGTGGCTGCAACCGATGTCCAGCAGACTTACAGGGTGGCTGCATATACCCTGAGGAAGGAACTCCATGAGGTAGGAAGTTTGACTGTTTAGTCCACTGGTTTGGGGGGATAGGTGGTCTCATCATTCGGGTATCCATCACATGACCAAGAGTATGAGGCTGGTGAGAGTGTCCTGGCCCCAGATGGGGCTTTTCATCTGGCCCCAAGGGTCCTGGGTTTGTAGTACCATGGTTCCCATTCCAGACGGCAGAGTGTACTCGATTCAGGTACTTGAATGAATGATAAATGTGGCTGGAAGGAATTTCTGAACTCTCAGAAAAGTCTGGAGGTCGGCCTGGAGCCCCACCATGCCTGGAAGGAATAAATCCTGCCTGGAATGGAGCTGGAGCATACATGTTTCCATCTTGACTGGGACAACTCATTTGTCCAAGCTGCAAGGAGGAGGGGTGTGATCCCATGTTGGTAAGGTGTGTCAGCCCCCCACACATTGGCTTTTCTTCAGGAGCACTGAACCGGGGTCCTCGGTGGTTGCCAATTCCAACTGGAGGCTGGTAATAGAGAAGGTAAGAGACCAGAGTTAATCACACTCACAGAGCCAGACAGACCTTGAAAGATGCTTTACCTACTGGGGCAGATTTTTCAGGAAAAGAGAGTAAATTCAATTTAACCTGGGAGGAGTTGTGTCTCTTGTAGACTGTGTACCTGCATAGCAAAGGGTGGGTGCCGCTGCACAGGCTCTCCAGGTGGCACCTTGGGCACTCGGGAGGAGCCATGTAAGTTGGTGGGATCTGATCCTTGAAGAGAGCCAAATGTTCCTGGTGCTGCTGGCTTCTGAGGCAGTGAATGAAGCAGGAAGGGGGGGAGGAGAGAAAAGATGGTCATAAGGAGAGGAGAAGGGTTCCCTAGGGACTTCTTGCACTTGTGTTCTTGGAGCTAGGATCAGTTCCTGATCTTAAAGTGGCTTTTCTCTCCAGGACTGACTTTTGAAAAATTGCCTTCCCCACCAAAACCAAAGCATTTAGACATTCTGGATCCAAGTGCATCCTACAATGAATCTACCCCCTCCCCTTTTTTTAAGTTTTGAGACAGGGTCTCATGAAACCCAGGCTGACCTCAAACCTGCTGTATAGTAGAGGATGACCCCAAACTTCTGATCCTCCTGCTCCTACCACCTTTCAAGTAGTGGAATTAACAGGCATGTACTACCATACCCAGTATTATGAGATGCTGAGGATATCAAAACCCTAGCTTTGTCCATGCTAGGTAAGCACTCTACCAACTGAGTCACACCCCCAGCTCCTACAATAAAATTTTAATACTTCAGACATACCATATAGCTTATGTGCTGTGCTACTGTGCTTATTTCTTCTTTTTTTAAAAGAATTTTGTTTATTTTATGTGTATTCGTGTATTGTCTGCATGTGGGTAAGTGCACCTGTGTCATGCAATGCCCGTGGAGGCCAGAAGAGGCTGTCGGATCCTCTGGGATTGGAGTTACAGACAGTCATTAGCTGCCATGTGGGTGCTGGGATTCAAACTTGGGTCTTCTGCAAGAATAAGCAGTGTTCTTAACTGCTGAGCCATCTCTCCAGCCCCTTTCTTCTGTTTTTAAGATGAGGTCTCACTATGTTACCCTGAGCTGGTCTCAAATGAGCCTTGCAACTAAGCCTCCCAAAGAAGCCAGGAATACAGGTAAGAACCATGTCCTCTGGCCTTTTTAATCCCAAATTTTGCCCACACTGAGAATACATGGTTCAAATAACTAAGAGAGAAGAAGTTCTAAAATAAAGAAAGGATGACTGGGTTGGGAATGGGGGAATAGGGGGATTATCTTTCTTGGTAGGTAGAGACAGAAAGACCAGGAGTTCATGGCTAGCCTTGGCCTTGACTATATAATAAGGTTGAGGCTATCCTGGGCTACATAAGCCTCTTGTCTCCAAGAACAAAAGAAACAATATATAGTTATTTGAAGAGGGTATCTATGTAGTTATTTGATGAGGATGTTAAGTAACTAGCCCTTAGTTCCCTATAAGTTCACTGACTTGGAGACAATACCATAAAGCTGAGTTTTTTCTTACCATCTGGTTTAAAACAGGTGCCTGGCTAGGCACCCTGCCACAGTGCAGGGGGTGGGAAAAGCCTTGGCCATTTGATGTGCCCACCTCTGGAGGGAGCTGTGTAGAACGGCTACTCTGATCTTCTGCAGTGGAGGTGGCTCGGCGTGCAGGGGGCAGTGATTTTCCTCCATTTTCCACTGGTGGCTGCTTCCTGCTGGGCCCTTCAGAGTCTCTAGAACGGGTCCAAACATGGCTTCCGCTACTTCTCCCAGCCCGGCTACGTCTTTTTTCCCGTTTTTCATCCTCTCTGATCCAAAATTCTTCATCTGTGTCTCCATCTTCACCAGGAAAATGTTTCATCATTGCCCGATGGAAACACCGCTCTAAATTATCAGACATCTTGGTATATTCTATAAGGAAGACACAAGGACTGACCTCCAGGTACAGATTTTATAGGACACAAAAAACAATTCTTTTACAATAATAAGGAATGCAACTGGGCCCAACCCCAAGTTTAACTTACCTTAGGGGCATATTATACTGTAGGGCTATGGACATAAGATGAAGATCTGATTTCTGTACATATCCTGCTCAAGACTGTATGGCTGGGAGAGTAACTCTAGTACTTTACCTCAAACTAGGAAAATTTAATTTTAGTCCAAACTTTTTTTTTTTTTTGTCTTTTTGAGACAGGGTCTCCCTGTAGAGTCCAAACTATTTTTAAAAAATATTTTATTATTTTATGTGAATACATGTATTGCCTGCATGTATGTAAGTACATCTGTGTCGTACAATGCCCACGGAGGTCAGAAGAGGCCACTGGATCCTCTGAAACTGGAGTTACAGACACTTGTTAGGTGCCACGTGGGTGCTGGGATTCAAACCCCGTTCTTCTGTAAGAACAACCAGTGTTCTTAACCGCTGAGCCATTTCTCCAGCCCCCCAGAATGATCTTTAGGATGAGAAAGCCCATGTACTCTACTAGACTCTCTTGTCCTGCACGATGGAAGAGAACTCTTGGGGCACAATCTTCTAGGGCCTGGAACGACCAATCCTATGGCTTTTAGTGCACATTTTGTTTGCAGGTCTAATGCAAAATTTGAAGCCAGGCATGATGGCATATACCTGCAATCCCAACACTTGGAAGGCTGAGACAAGGGGACTAAGAGCTCAAGGTAAGCTTGGGCTAAAGAGTGAGACCCTGCTTCAAAAAGAAAAACAAGAAAAGTCTGAAGGACTGAAATGCACATTTCTCAAAAGCATTTACGTCATCCCCATTATAATGGCACAGAACACACACATCCAGCAACAACTCCTTCACCACTTACCACTACTTTCCCCATTGTATTTCCGACAATTCTTGAACATGGTCTTCATGTCATTCACAAATTCCTCCTTGGTACAGTATAAACCTCCATTTAATTTCTTCTCCATGCTTGAAATATCCATGGGGATCTAAAATAAAACATATAACACTTTAATGCTAAGAAAGGCATGGTGGGTCACACCTATAATCCCGGCACTGGAAGGCAGGAGGATGGACACATGTTTCAGACTAGCTGGTGCTTCAAGGCCAGCTTTGGCTACAGAGTGAAACTTTGACTCAAAACAAAACAAAACAAAAACTCTGGGCCCAGTTCACAACTGAGTACTGGATAGGGAGATGTGATCAAGTCATATCACAAGCTCCTACCATCACAGACAGAGCTACCTGCCTCCGTCCATGTCCATCCTGTCATCAAGGACTGTAGCCCAAACTGTGAGCCAAAATACATCATTCCTGAAGTGGCTTCTGTCAGATACTTAATCACAATGATGTAAACATAGCTAATGTAAAACCCAAGTAAGATAGATTTTCAAGTACAATTTCAGATACCTTAATAATCTGGTAATAGTTGGGGGCATAAGATTCATCCACAGGTTCCAAGAAGGGCCAGGAATCCTTGTGAGCTTTTACGACATCTAGAACTGAAAGCCAAAGAAGAAAACATAATTGATTCACTCACACAGCAAGATGTTCATAAGAAACATAAGAGCTAAGACTGGGAACTAACCTTTGTACATGGCAGTGAAATCATCATCCAGCTCAAAGCTGTGAATCATAAAACAAGACATTAGTTGTAACTCTGACCACCATCTCTCCTTAGCTCTTTTGGTTTAATCAGATAAGAATAGTACTTCTTACTCTATTTAGACAAGTCTAATACATATGATACTCACTGAAAATAATTTAAGGATGGAAAGCTACCATACCAAAAGAGGACTACCAGTTTCCTTATCTAAAAACAATAGAATTAAGCTGGGCGTGATGGTGCACGCCTTTATCCCAGCACTCAGGAGGCAGAGAAAGGCAGACCTGAGTTCAAGGCCAGCGTGGTCTACATAGTAAGTTCTAGGTTCCAGGACAGCTGGGGCTACAGGGAGACCCTGTCTCAAAAAAAAAAAAAAAAAAAAGAATTAGCCTAAATGACCCAGAACTTTGTGCTTTTTATTTGTGTGTGAGACAGAGTCTAACTATGTAGCCCAGGCTGGTTCAAATTTCAGATTCTGCCTCAGCCTCCACAGATTTGGGGAGTATAGAAACGGACCACATGCCTCCTTTAAAAGTAAGATGCAGGGCTGGAGAGATAGCTCAGAGGTTAAGAGCACTGAGTGCTCTTGCAGAAGACCAGGATTTGAATCCCAGTACCCACATGGCAGCTAACAACTGTCCTTAACTCCAGTCCCAGGGGACTGACCTCCATGGGCATTGCATGACATGGGTGCACTTACCTACATGTAGGCAATAAACAAACACACATAAAATAAAAAATACAATTTTTTAAAAAGCAAAAAAAATAAATAAAACATGAGGCCAGGTCTGGTGGTGCATGCCTTTAATCTTAGCACTCCAGAGGCAGAGGCATGTGGATCTCTAAGGTCAAGGCCAGCCTGGTCTATGTAGTGAGTTCCAGGCCAGCTGGGGCTGCAGGGAAACCTGTCTCAAAAAGAAAAAAACATGAGGGCTGGAGAGATGACTCAGCAGTTAAGAGCGCTGGCTGTTCTTGCAGAAGACATGGCAGCTAAGTCATCCATAACTCCAGTTCTACAGTATTCAATGCCCTCCTCTTCTGTGTTCCTTGTACATAGCACGATAGGGGTGTGCTTACATACATGTAGGCTAACACACACAATTTATTTACTATTTATTTACTATTAATTAATTTATTTATTTATTTTTAGTCTTTTTGAGACAGGATCTCCCTGTAGTTCCAGTTGACCTGGAACTCACTATGTAGACTAGGCTGGCCTTGAACTCACAGAGATCTGCCTGCCTCCCAAGTGCTGGGATTAAAAGTGTGTGCCACCACACCCAGCATATATTTTTATTTTTATTTATTTATTTACTTTGGTCTTTTTGAGACAGCTCTCCTTGTAGCCCCAGCTGGCCTGAAGCTTGCTCTATAGACCAAGTTGGCCTTAAACTCAGTGATCCACCTGCCTCTGCCTCCTGAGTGCTGGGATTAAAGGCGTAAGCCATCATGCCTGGCTCCTATTTTTATTATTTTTATATTCCATGTGTATGAGTCTACTGCTTGTATGTATGTAAGTGCAACCATGTCATACAATGCCCGCAGACGTCAGAGCAGGGCATCAGATTCCCTTGGAACTGGAGTTATGGATGGGTTGTTAGCTGCCATGTGGGTGCTGGAAACCAAACCTGGGTCCTCTGAAAGAACAGCCAGTGCTGTTAAATGCCTAACCATCTCTCCAGCCCCTTAATTTTATTTTTAATTATGTGTATTATGTTTCTGTGTGTGTGTGGGGGGGTATGTGTGTTATTTGTTGTGTGTGTGCACATGCAAATCCATCATGGCATGCATGTGGAGGTCAGAGTACCATCTGCAAGAGCTGGTTCTCTCTCTCCACCATATGGATCCTGGAGATCCAACTCAGGTCATCAGGCTTGGCTACAAGTGCCTTTACCCACTGAGCCATTTTGCTGGTCAGAGAGAAGTGCGTAACAACACTGCCAGCTGCTATTTCTGCTGCAGTTATTAAATACTCACAGGTCCTTAGTCTTCTTTCCTTCCCTCATAGGAGAATTAGGATCCAAATGGGACAGTTCTGGGGGTAGCTCCTTGCCTTGAGCCAGCAGCCACGCCCGCTCTTCCCTGAGTTTTCTCCTTTTAGCTCGATCTACAATCAACATGAACACACTCTTAAGTCAAGCCTTTGTACTTGCTACTCACGGGGCCTTCTATGCTCTTTCCTTCAGATATGCACATGGCAACCTCATTCATTTTATTCTAGTGCCACACCTTCAGAGAAAGTGTGTGACAATCCCAGTTAAATGTCACTTTATTGGTGAAACTCCTTATTTTAACTTTGAGACAGGTTTCACGTACTCCCGATGACTCTGCTATGTAGCCATAGCTGGCCTTGAATTCTTGATCCTTCTGTCTTAGTCTTCCAAATGCTGGATTACATGAACCTGCTTTATTCTTCAGAGCACTCAAACACTACCTATACTTGCAAAGCATTTATTTATAAACTTCACAAAATAGGTTTTTTTTTTTTTTTTCCCCATTACCATAAACCTAGAACAGTGCCTGGTACAGAACAGATGCTCAAAAAATAAAGTCCTTTTAAAGAACAATGTGAGCTGGGTATGGTAACTTATTCCTATGACCCTGGCACTTGAGAAGCTGAGGCAGGAGGATCGCTGCCAAGTCTGAGGTCAACCTGAGCCACAAAACAAGAGACTCTGTCTCAGACAGATAGACACTCTCTCTCACAAAGACAATGGTGTAACCTGTAAGAATCCACCGAAAAATACAGAATCAGCTGAGCGTGGTAGTGTATGCCTTTAATCCCAGCACTCCAGAGGCAGAGGCAGGCAGATCTCTGTGAGTTCAAGGCCAGCTGGGGCTATAGGGAGACTGTCTCAAAAAAAAAAAAAAAAAAAAAAAAAAAACCCAAAAAAAAAAAAAAAAAAAAAAAAAAAAAAAAAAAAAAAAAAACAAACCCAAACAAACAAATAAAGAAAAACAACAACAAAAAAAGAAAAATACAGAATCACATTGATAAACACAAGGAAGGGAGAAGGTTGAGAAGGACTGAGAGAAGGCCATATATTTACTTAGAAAAAGAAAACCATTGGTATACATTCAAAGATGACAGCTGATCTGTTATTTTGATATACCAGGTTCAGCTGATAAGCACAGTGGCTATCCAAGAAACTTATCTGTTGCTCTGTAAAACTATAAGACAGAAGAAAAATCATATTACACCAAGACTAGTGCTTGGGTCTGAGAAAACTACTCTGTACTAGAATAAGACTAATGGTAACAATGCAGACACAAACACCACCATATGAAAATAAAATTCTGTGTTAGAAATGTAGCTCAGTTGGTAGACAGCTTGCCTGGCATGTAGAGAGCCCTGAGTTTGATACTCAGCATTACATAAGCTGGGAGTAGTGGTGCCCATCTGTAATTCCAGCACCTGAGAGGCGAAGGCAGGAGGAAATTCAAGAGTTTGTCAATGCCAGCCTGAGCTATATAGACCATGTCTTAAAAAACACCACAAACCCGGCTGGAGAGATGGCTCAGCGGTTAAGAACACTGGCTGTTCTTGCAGAAGACCCAGGTTCGAATCCCAGCACCCAACATGGCAGCTGACAACTGTCCGTAACTCCAGTTCCAGGGGATCCGATGGCCTCTTCTATCCTCCATGGGCATTGAACGACACGGGTGCACTTACCTACATGCAGGCAATGCACTCATACACATTAAAAAAACGACAACAACAACAAAAAAACCCATAAACCCATGGGGCTAGAGAGATGGCTCAGTGGTTAAAAGCACTGACTATTCTTACAGAGGACTTGGGTTTGGTTCCTAGTACACACGGCAGCTCACAACCATCAGGAACTCCAGTTCTAGTGATCCAATGCCTTCATCTGTCCTCTGCAGGCACTTACACATATGCAGGCATTACACTCATACACATAACATAAAAATAAAATAAAATATTTTTTAAAAAGTATGAATTTAGGTGGAAATCATTATCTGAAAGGAAACTCACTGTCTCCTATACGTTGTGATACTGGCTACAACAGGACAGAGGTGAGAGATGCTGCTAAACATCACAAAATGTACTCATACACATAATAAATATTACAAAAACAGAAGCCACAATAAATCTGTCCCTGTAATTTTTCTTTTTTTGATCCTTTTGAGACAGGGTCTCCCTGTAGCCCAGGTGGCCTGGAACTAGCTATGGAGACCAGGCTGGCCTCAATCAAGTGCTGGAACTAAAGGTATGTACCACTATGCCCGCCAAAGACTTTCATTTTTGAGACAGATCTCAAGTAGGCCAGGCCTATGAAACCAGTTGTCATCAAGGCTTCAGAATTTTCTTCTATTCTATATAATACATGTAGGACACAGGAAAAATCCAAATGAAAAGGTACTGAAAGGCATAGCAAAAATGACAAATACACACGGCTTTAACAAGAATGTAAAAGGAGTAAGACTAGACACAGAAGCCAGGCGTGGTAGCACATGCCTTTAAACCCAGCTTTTAGGAGGCAGAGGTAGGCAGATCTCTGTGAGACTGAGGCCATACTGGTCTACACAGAGTTCCAGGCCAGCTGGGGCTATAGGGGTGCCCTGGCTTGAATTAAAAAAAAAAACACCCAAAAACTAGATTCAGAAAAATATGACAGAATAAAATTCACAAGACATTTAAATAGAGATGGTCAGAGATAAAGATGAGCCTGACTTGATCCAGCCTTGGCTGCCAGGAGGATGTTCTCACTCTTGAACCTCTCTAGGCTGGGCAGAAGACCTACATACCTTCCACAGCCTTGACCTTTTCCTCCAACTCCCGCTTCCTCTCCTCTTTCAACATCTGTTCCTGTTCCTTCTTCTGCACTGCCAGGAGAATTTGCCGTTCTTCCTCCTCCTCCTTGCGCTTCTGTTTCTCTATCCTGGTGAGCACAGGCGTCTCCTGCAATAAGCCAACAGGCACATGGAGGTCAATGGACAACAATGCAGACCAGCTCTTCCCAATTTTGGGACTCCAGTATATCCAAGAGATATTAGCACACAGAGGATTTACAAACTGACTTTATTACCTGTGAAATGTGTCTGTCTCTCTATATAAATACACTAAGATTAAAACAATGGGAGGCACAGACTCTAGCATTGAGGATTATGAATCAGAGGCTAGCCTGGGGTATAGCCAAGTCCCTTTCTCAAAAACAAAACAAAACAAAACAAACTCCACAATAAAAGCAGGGTCTGGGGAGATGGCTCAGCAGACCTGGGTTTAGTACCCAGCACCCAAAGTGGCGGCTAACAACCATCCTTTACTCCAGCCCCAGGGGTTCTGACACCCTCTTCTGCCTTCTTTGGGCACTGCATGTATGGATGCACTTATACACATGTAGGCAAAACACTTATACAAATAAAATAAAAATAAAAACTCATTATATAGCTCAAGCTGATCCTGAAAGCTCACTATACCTGAAGCCTAGTTGGGAGTGTGATGCTTGCTTTGACAGGTTTACTTCAGCACGGAGAAGACAGAAGAACCTTCTATATTAAGTAAATTACCTCAAGGCTTCTATTGTGGACATTGTATAAGTGGCCTTTATGCAGAGTGAACAAAGATGAATACAGAATGTTATTTAGAGTTTTCATTTAACACTGAAACTGCTTCTGATTAATTTTTTTCTTTTGTGGTTCTTTTTGTTAATTTTATTATTTTTATTTTATGTATATATGTGTGTTGCCTGCATGTAAGTAAGTGTACCCGTGTTATGCAATGCCCACAGATGTCAGAAGAGGCTGTCGGATCCCCTGGGACTGGAGCTATAGACAGTTGTTAGCTGCCATGTGGGTGCTGGCATTTGACCCCGGGTCTTCTACAAGAACAACCAGTGTTCTTAACCACTGAGCCATCTCTCCAGCCCCCTCTTTTGTGGTTCTTTAAACCAGTTTAAAGGTTTATTTTATTTATGTTTATATGTCCATGTCTGTGTGAGTGTATGTGACTTGTGTGCTAGTGACCAAGGAGGCCAGAAGGTGGGGTTGGATTCCCCAGAGTTGGAGTTACTGGCAGTCATGAACCTCCCAACATGGGTGCTGGGGACTAAAAGCTCAGGTCCTCTTCTAGAGCAAGAAGCTCTCTTATCCACTGTCATCCCTCCTTTGAAATGAATTTAAGATTCTCACTTACAGATGGTTTTGCCTGGGAAGTTTTCAGTTAGCAGTTCACCTGCCTGTCTTCCTGTCTTCCTTCCTTCCTTCCTTCCTTCCTTCCTTCCTTCCTTCCTTCCTTCCTTCCTTCCCTCCCTCCCTCCCTCTCTTACTCACTCACTCACTCACTCACTCACTCACTCACTCACTCACTCATTCATTTTCTTCACAGACAGGGCCTCAGGCAGCAGGGGTTGTCCCAGAACTCCTGTCTTCCTGCCTCCATCACACCTGGCTCAATGTCAACTAAAAAATTTATTTAATTTGTGCCTGTCTGCCTGTATAGATGCACATGTGTATGCATGTGTGTGTCTAAGGGTATGTTTATGTTGTAATGTGTGTAGAGATGAGATGACAACTGACAGGAACTGGTTCTCTCCTACCATGTGGATCCTGGGTATCGAACGCAGGTTGATGGCTTGGTGGCAAGCACTGACCCATCTCCCTGGTCCTCAATGTCATTTTTGTAACTCAAATTCTTTTAGTCTTATTTCAAAGCCAAAACCAAATCAAACTAAACCACGACAAAAAAGAAAAACAGCTCCTCTTCCCCAGGAAAAGAGAATGCACAAAGTCAAACTCTGGAATAATAGATTAAAAAAACAAAAAACAAAAAACTAACCACTGTTAATTATGTACATAACATATCCATTAGTGGTCCATGTAACACTGTACTCATTAAGGAGCCCCAGCAGAAGAGAGTACCCTAAAATCTTCATTTACAACATGAGTAGGCAGATGAACTGCTAATATTTTGCAAGGATAGATCTTTTAAGACTGAATCTCTGGTCATTGCCTCCTAAGTAGCTAACAGTGAGGGGCCTTTCCTGCATTTCACCAGTAACCCCTACACCTCCACCCTATTCCCTGGTCTTTATTCCAACATCCTGGTAAAATCTTCACCCAGCTGAGAACATGATGGACCAGATCACAGAAATCAAGGCAAAAGAAACCAACTTGCCTTCCTTCTAATATAATGCTGGAAGGCATCAAATGACTATCACAGCAAGGAAAGGGAGGAAATAATTTCATTCAAAAAATTGAATAGCTGCTTGCTTAGTGGGTGCAAACACATAAACTAGGCCTAGTGGTGCATAGATGTAATTCTAGTACTCAGGAGGTAGACACAGGAATACAAGATCATCCTCAGGTACACAGTTTAAGATTAGACTGAACTCTTAGAAAAATGGGCTGGAGAGATAGCTCAGCAGTCAAGAGTATGTACTGCTCTTATAAAGACCTAAGTTCAATTCCCCTGGGAATCCCACGTCATGTGTCACACAATTACCCATAACTCCAAGAGATACAACACTTCTGGCCTCCATGGACACCTATATTCATGTGCACATACCCTCAACACAGATAGACACACATAATAAAAATTTAAAGACAAAAATCAAACATATATACATACCCCTACCCCTCACAGGTCAGGAAGTAAGAGATGTTTGCCAAAATGCTTCAATGATCTGGGCTTAATTCCAGGAACCCACATATTGGAAGGATAGAACTGAATCCCCAAAGTTGTCCTCTGACTTCCACCCTCATAGGCTGTGCTTCATGCATCTCCACCCCCAACCAAAATAGTAAGTGTAAAAAATTTAAACTTTTAAGTAAAAGAAATATTAGGTCTCTAAAGAGTTGATCTAGCAAACAAACACAAGGACTCCTGATTTTTTTTTCTACTTCCCAAGTGCTGGAATTATAGGCATGTCCACTTTTAATCCCAGCACTCGGGAAGCACAGGCAGGTGGATCTCTGAGACAGAGGCCAGCCTGGTCTACACAGTGAATTCCAGGCCTACTGGGGCTACAGGAAGACCCTGTCTGAAAAAAAGAACAACATAATAAAAAATATAATATAAAATCTACATTAATATATATGCTAAGTACAGAAGATATAGTAATTGAGTGATCTGAATGGATAGTATCTTTAAAACTCAATAAAAGTTCTCCATATCTCTGCAGATCAAGGATAAGAACCCACACCTGCCTTGGTTTCTCTGTCTTTGCTTGTGGCCTCTTATCTATTGGTGCATTTTTTTATTTACTTATTTGGTTTGTTTGTGTGAGACAGGGCCTCACTGCTGGCTGTCCTGGAACCTGCTGTGTAGAACAGACTGGCATTGGACTTGCAGAGAACATTCTGCTTCTCTCCAGAGGTAGGACTACAAGGCTGAGCCACCACACCTCTCAGGTCACTTTCTCAGTATTGCCAGGACAGGTGAAAACTCATCTTTGCCCCACATTTCCCAGAACTTGTCATGTATCACACATTCAGCTGTTTCCCACCTCATGTAACTCTCAACAACTGTTTTACTTAAACATCTGAAGCTAGGCATGGTGGCCCATGTCTTTAATCTAATCCCAGCACTCTATAAGTAAACGCAGGTGGATCTCTGTTAGAAACCAACCTGGCTACAAGGTGAGTTCCAGGACAACTGGGGCTATAGGAAAAACCCTGTCTCAAAAGACACACACACACACACAAGTGCACACCATGTATCAAGAGTTTGGAGAATTTCTGTGCTATGTGCTAATTTTCATCATTCTTTTGTAGGTTTTTTTTTTTTTTTTTGGTCTTTTTACAGGGTCCCACTGCAGCCCCAGCTGACCTGGAACTTGCTCGGTCTACTTGCTATGTAGAGCAGGCTGGCCTTGAACTCACAGAGATTTACCTGCCTCTGCCTGAGTGCTGGGACTAAAGGTGTGGGCCACCATGCATGGCATTTTTGTAGAGTTTTAATTATTAAAGAACCCATGGGCCAGCAAGATGGTTCAGGAGATAAAAGGTGCTTGCTGCCAAGCCTGAGAAACTGACATGGGTCCCACAGGATGGAGAAAACTGATTCCTTTTTTGTACGATGTCCTCCAACCTCTACACATGCAATTTGGCATGCATGACCTCCAAATTAAATAAACAAATGTAACAGTATTAATAATAAACCCATACAACAAGATGAACAAAAAAAACAATCCAAAAGCTGGGCGTGGTAGAGCATGCCTTTAGTCCCAGCACTCAAGGAGGCAGAGGCAGGCATAGTGAGACCCTGTCTCAAAGAGTAAAAAAAAAAAAAAAATCCCAAAATTACTAACATGTGTGTGTGAATTTGATACTGTTTCTAAAGATTTATTTTATTATTTTTAATATTTTATTATTTTTATTTTATGTGTATGCATGTATTGCCTGCATATAGGTAAGTGCACCCATGTTGTGCAATGCCCACAGAGGTTGGAAGAGGTTGTTGGATCCCCTGGGACTGGAGTTACGGACAGGTGTTAGCCGCTATGTGGGTGCTGGGATTTGAACCTGGGTCTTCTGCAAGAAAAGTCAGTGTTCTTAACCTCTAAGCCATCTCTCCAGCCCCAGATTTATTTTATTTTTATGTATGTGTGTATGTCTCTCTTTGTGGGCATGAACACATGACTACTGATGCCCACAGATGCCCAAAGAGGGCACTGAATCTCCCTGAGCTGAATAGGTGGTTGTTAGCCACCCAGTGTGGCTGCTGGGAACCAAAATCTGGTCATCCCCAAGTGCTCTTAACCACTGAGCCATCTCTCCACCTCCTCATACTGTCAGTCTTATATTGCCATTTTTTTTTTTTCTTTAAAAGGGGTCAGCTCACTGGGCACAGTGGCGCACACCTTTAATCCCAGGCAGAGGCAAGAGGGGCACTGGAAGTTAAAAGTCAGCCTGCTCTATATAGTGAGATCCTATCTTAAAAACCAAAAAGCATGCCGGGTATGATGGCACACTCCTGTAATCCCAGCATTTGGGAAGGGGTGGGGCAGATTCAGGCAGATCTCTGAGTTCGAGGCCACCCTGGTCTACATAGTGAGTTCCAGGCCAGCTGGGGTACAGGGAGACACTGTCTCAAAAAGACAAAACAAAAAACAAAACCCCACAAAGTATCAGCTGCAAATGAGATAGTGGTTGGCATTTAAATGCTTTATGAGCAAGAAAGAGGCCCACTAGAATCACTAGGGCATTTTAATGAGAAGCTTACAAGGACCACCACCATGAAATCCTCCAAGGGACTATTATATTAACTAGAAGTTTTGGTTGAAGCAGTGCCTGGGCTCTGTACCCTAAGGCATGGGTCCAGACTCACTGTATCACCCTTATCACCAGGAGCACATTTGAGACTCTGCTTCCATAAACAGCTCCTTAGATACCCACAGTATTCAGTTCAGGGCCTCCTGACAACGTTACCCCAGAAAGCCCTAACCGTGGGTTTATCAGTGTCCCTGCACTGATATTTTCCCCAGAAGTCACAATTAAAGACTCTTTGAGGCCATTAAGATTGGACTACTGGGTGATCAACACCTGCATACACAGAAAGTCTTAAGATTTTCCGCTCTGGAAACAAAAGCACAACTCACACTATTAGTGTTTCTCCCAGATAGAAGGACTTACAACAGACACTTCAAATCTCTGCATTGTGTTGTTTCCTATACTTCAAACTAAACAGAATTTAAAACAACCCATCAGGCATAAAAGCAGCAATGTGAGTGGCCGATGCTAAACTTCTGCTTGCAGCTATGAAGAGTTTCAGTGGCACTCAGCTGAAACTGAGCAATCTGAGGTGTGAAATAGGGCACTGAGGACTGCCTGAAGTGATGAGCCAAAAAAAGCTTCCAAGAAGGTATTAAGGTTAAAGGGAGACAAGAGAATCCATCAAGGTAAGAGGAACTGGAAAACTCTTCAGACACACATTAGATAGCAACCACCAAAGGCTACTCCCAAGCTAAGGACCACAGCAAGCCAATCACTGTAGAACTGTCAACTCTAACATACCTAGAAGAAGCCAAGTGAGGTGGTGCATACCTCCCAGCATTCAGGAGACTGAGGAAAATTTTGAGTTTGAACCAGGCTGGGCTACATAAATACTCTGTGT